AATATGCTGACTCTCTGTAAACCGCTTAGAGAGGCCTGAAAGGCCTATGAAGCGGTATATAAGTCCACTGCTATTGCTATTGCTATTGCTATTCATAGAATGCTTCATTATAATTTTATGCCATTTAATGTTTTATAAACGTAGCCAAATTTCAATTCATGGGAGTCGTAGGTCCTGGATTTTGGACACAAAATCATCCATCCATTCATCTCTTCTTCTGGAAGCTCATGTTGCAACATACAGTTCTCGCACATTTGTACTTTGTTGTCTAGTCAACTCCATAAAGTAGGGTCAGCTATGAAATCATGACTAGCTCAAAGTCACCCTCTAAATTTCAAGACCGAATGAGAATTTGAACATGGATCTTATTATTCTTAGTCTAATATATCCAATTGATAAATGATTTCAATTTTATAAATTCATATAATATATTTCATGCATAAGGAAACTATAGCATTACATATCCTTCGAAAACCTTTAGGCCTTAAATTCCCCAGATAACTTTGTAATATTTGAACTGAAAGTTATTTTATCTATTTGAAACTAATGGAACTGCAGCCGAAGAGTTACTCTTCTGATGTAGATTTTTTCTTTTTCTTTGAACAGTTGATCACTAATGTATATTTCAAATCATTTTTGAAAAATCAATTGCTGAGCTATCTGGAAGATTTAAAAAAAAAATTAAAAGGTTAATTATTTAAATTATGTGTACAGTTTTTTTACTGTTGGTAAATAATAAAATAAGAATTTATCATAATTAATCTATCATCTGATAATGAACTGACTTGATTTAACTGGAGCTTTTTAAGAAAGATACATGTTAAACTACACATCAATAAAAGCTTCAGGAATTCTACAAAGTGTGACTGCGAATGTGCATGCATATTACATGGACTCCTTCAAAAATTCTTATATGAAAGTATAATTTTGAGAGCATATTTAAATTAAAAGTAGGTCAGTATGATATTTTGCTTATAATTATTAAAAGGAATGTTAAGTCTGTATACGGTTGTTCATAAAAATTGTGCTGAAGCAACTACTTTTAGTTACATGCATATATCATTAACTGGGATGTGGAAAGATATTAATTAGCCTCAAAATTGTTTTAAGATGAAAAATGGAAGCAGACACAGGCTGAAATTTAACAGTGATAATGTCAAGCTGGTTGTGACTATCGTCAAATGATGTGTCAGGACCACAAAATATACAATTAACTGTGTCAATACTGTTTGGGTTTTACTTATTGTTTTTGTAGTTCAGTTTATTGTATCATATGCCAAATTTATTCATTTAATCAGTCATCAGCTTGCTCCTGTTATTACTGTTGATTTCCTATAACAATAAAGATCATCTGGTTTCATTCTTCTTGTTTTTGTGTACTGCTGATGAAGAGATGAACATTTTAATGTCTTTAACTGATTATTGCAAATTATTTTTTATAAAAGAGATCCTTCCTACAATGTACAATGAAAAATTCAAAATGTAATTACAATTACATATGCCTTTTTGAAATAAAAAAGGATTATTCTTTCCCTCTGATCACGCATTATGTGCCTAGTGGCTGAATGCCAAAATAATAATATAATGCATCCTGGAATACCTCCAAACAGAGCAGCTTAATACAGTTACATTGTAACTGATTTTTAGTACTGTAGCATACTTAAGATTATTCATGTGACTTCAGGAAATGTTCTAGTTCTAGTGATATTTAAACCATTCTACGCATTCGATATAAACAATACAATACATTTTTATTTTCGTTGTTGAATTTATTTGCCACCCATCTCAATCACAAGGTGACTCTGGGCAGCTTAATGTTAAAAAGAATAAAGCAATGCAACAGTATGAATATAATAAGAGTAAAACACTATAAAATATAAATTTTCAACTATAAAGCTAAAAGATGGGGGGAAGAAATAAACTGAACAACGGAAGTGGGTGCAAGCTGTTATTAATCTATCAGCCATTTTCATCTTTTTTATACCGTTATTACATAGAATGCAGTGAATGATTGGCCAATTTAGATCAGGGATTTTTCTGATTTTCTATAGCTTAATATTTCTTCTATTTCCCTAAATTGTATAGAAGAAGTACTTTACAACATAAATTGGAGTATTACACTGCATGTTATGTGCTGTCTTGCTCCTTATATGGCTATTCTTTCAATTCCCATAATACTTTAAAATTAATCATTGAGCTTGGTTTCAGTTTAGCTCAGTCAAATGAGTCTTCTTGACCTCTCTGATGAACCAGCTATTTTAGTAGGCAGGGTATGATGCTTTTGCATATCTGTTCCATAGTTATGCAATGCAAAATCGTCTCTCTGCAGAGTTGTAAGACTAAATAAAATAAGAAAAATAAATTTAGTTAAGAAATAAGAAAAATGGTTTCCATAATTTTGTGTTCTAATCTTTCATTGCCCTTATGGTGCCTTAATGAGAAGTTTCAGTAATATCATTCTGAATCATCTTTTATCTATGGATTTACATTTTTCCAAAACACAACTATGCCCTGAGAGCAGTAATGAGTTGTGTCATAAACTTTAAATCATCTTTCAATCTGGATTTAGAATCTCACAGAAATTTAAGTTAAACTATGCATTTTATTTTCATATTTCTTAAAATAAATTATACTTATATACTTAGTTATAAGCATTTGTTTTTGAAATCAGATTAAATATCCTCTTTCTGTATTCTTTTGCTTTAGGAGTTTGATCCTGAAGAGTTCTACCATCTGCTAGAGGCTGCTGAAGGCCATGCCAAAGAAGGGGGAGGAATTAAATGTGACATCCCTCGTTATATTATATGCCAGCTGGGCCTTACCAGGGATCCCTTGGAGGGTGAGAGCATTGTATTCTTAGAACTATAATGAAGCAGAAAAAAGTAGGATATCACAAAGCATCTTAGTCATTCTCACAAACATTAACTAGCACATAAAATCTAATGAGCACATCAACTGTTAAGAATGTCCATAAGTATAAGTACACTATATAAATGTAATGGGGTGTCCCATTACATTTATATAGTGTGTCTATGCATTTTAATTATTACTTTAATGATATAGTATATAATAGTACATATTGCACACTCCAAATTGCACAAAGCAGAACTCTAACCAAAAGGTGGTCCTATAGGCTGGAAAGGGTGAGTCTTCTGTTTTCCCCGCATTTGCAATGCAGGGGAAACAGAATCCCAACACTTACAATCCCAAACTCTAAGTGAAATGGGAAGGAAATATTTTCTCTATCACTTTCCTCCTATGAGGATGGCTCCATTGGACTTCAACTTCTTTTCCTAGGGGAATACTGTATGCCAACTTTTCTCATTCTCAATGACTTTAAGATGAATGGCTTTGAACTCCCAGAATTCTAGGAGTCCTTAAAGCCACCGAGGTTGAGAAACACTGTGCTAGTCTATTCTTTTTTTTAAACATATTTTTTAATTTTCATTTTCACAACATACAATCACATGTACACTATACATAGCCAGTATCATATAGTAACAAATAATGATCACATCAGTTCCTCTTGTCATCAACACCCAAAAAATAAAAATAAAAACCCATTATTAGCTCTTCTGCTCTCCATACACCTCCCTCTTCTACCTCTCTCCTACTTCCTATCTTCCCTCCCTCATCCCTTCCCACTCTATTTCCCCTTCCCCTCTCCCTACATTCCACTCCTCCCTATCCTCATCCTCCTCATCCTCCCCCCTCACCATCTCTCCTATCCCTCTCTTCCCATCTTTCTCTCTACATTCCACTCCTCCTTATCCTCCTCATCTTCCCCCCTCACCCTCTCCCCTCCCTCTCTTCCCATCTT